CAGCTACGGTAGATGTAGAGATGTAGATGTACGAGATGTAGATGAGACATGACACTCGACATGACAATGTACAGTTAAGCCCTCGGAGAGCTTCCCGACAACGTCCAGCTAGGCAACTGTCCATGTCAATCATCCTGTTACATATACTTCCTACATCAACAGCACCTATGGTAATAACGTAGATGCTGCTGAAGCAGAAAATACGTATATGTTATGATTATGTTAACATAATGTTATGTTCGAGAGATCATCGCCTGCCTCACTAACCATACCAGATATTCATCATCAAAGTACAGGTATTCTCTCCCACTGAGTATACGCAACAATGTGATATGGTAACGCCGCTATATCAATAATAGAGCGAAACATAAAAAGCAAAGTTACTCGAATGCTCAAACGTGAATCGCCTTCCCGAAGGCAGTGATCATCGATGCCTCGCGAACCGCCTCCGATAAGGTCGGGTGTGCAAAGCATGTACCTGCGACAAGTTGAACACTGAGACGAGATGAGAGCCTCTGGATGCCTTACGGGCCACATCCTCACTCGATGCACCATAGTTGATCGCCAGGACAAAAGGATGGATGAGCTCACCTAATGAGACGACGAACTGCGATATACCAAGAAGAACAGTAATCTACCTGCCGAAGCTTGCACGATACAGGCCCCTAAGAGCTTGTCATCTTCCTTCTGTGATATCACTTTAACGAAGCCTTCAGTCGAGTCGACGCATTTTGCTCGACCAGATGCAGCGAAGGGAAATACTCCAACTTTGCAATCGATTCCCGCCTTCTTGCAATCGGCCTCAGTCTTGCCGACCCAAGCGATTTCGGGATGAGTGTAAACCACCGATGGTATGCTGTCGTAATTGATGTGGCTCGAGTCTTTGCCTGAGGCCATTGACGGTTGCCGCACCTCCGAGAAGTGTATTATTCACCTTTTTTTAACTCAGCATTGATTCTCTCAGCAACTGCAAAGCCTTCATCTTCTGCCTTGTGTGCCAGCATGGGCCCTCGTACAACGTCACCAATTGCCCAGATATTTGGCACGTTCGTCCGTAGACTACCAGGGCATACCTCACGTACCCCAGAGACGTCTCACCTCTCATCGACTTCGATCATGCCCGTTCGAGCGTCCGTGATGACTCCGGCGCGATCCAACCCGAGCCCTTCGGTGTAAGGGCGCCGTCCAACCGCTACTAAAACCTGCAGTATCGATTCCAGAGCGCGGTCATGGGCTACTCATTCAGTCACCTTCTGGACCTCTAGCGTGCCCTTGTCGGTGCCGTCAGCTCCCTTCAGAGTGAGTTCAGCACGACCATTCTTCACCTCGGCCGATGTCACCCCCGTGGCGACGTGAAAATTCATTTTCTCATGCCTTTGTAGAGACTTCTGTAGAGCTTGGGATACGTCCAGATCGGCTGTTGGGAGGATATGCGGCATGTACTCAACAACGGTGACCTGAAAAAGCCAATTCAAAATGCGAGGTCCGATGGTGACACTGTACTTTAGTGCCCAATCGGGCCCATACTGAGCCCAGCTCGAGGCCGATCACTCCACCACCGATCACCGCCATTGACTCAGGTACCTGCGAGCATATGAAGGCCCTGGACTCCAACGATTATCAAGACGATACGGACCTCTGGGAACTCCAAGGCTTCAGTGCTTGTCACAATGACATCACCGTCAATCTTGAGGAAAGGTAGCGAGGAGGAGTCGGAACCTGTATGCACAGTGGTAGACCAATCCTGGTGCGAGGTGGCTCACCCGTAGCTACCACGTAGTGCTTTGCCTCAATAGACTCGCTAGCTCCATCGGTAATGTCGACCTCCAAAGTGTTGGCATTCGTAAAGCGTCCGAGGCCGTGGAATTGTGTAACCTGAGCACGCACCGTCACGACTATTTTGCTCTAGATCCAGATGCATGTCCAGGGTGACTGGTGACACCAAGGGAGGGAGGGGGGATCGGACACTACCCCATTCTTGTCCATGAGACCCTTGACGCCTTTAGTGAGCATTTGGACTGTTCGGGTCCGGTGTCGATGCATGGCAGTCAAGTCAGCAGCAGCCGATGACGAATCAATTTTCACTCCAATTTTCTTCAAAGTGCTGCCGCTCTAAGGGGAGCACCAAGGCTGATCACAGGGTGGACTAATAGCATCACTTTCAGAGCGGAGTATTCATGAGATGAATGGAGGAGACACTTCGAGGGAATACAGCCTATGTTCAGGCAGGTACCCCCCAGCGCGGACCTCTTCTCGACGATAGCGGTCTTCAAACCAAGTTGGGCTGCCTGACACGTCAGAGGATGGTGAAGGGAAGGAGCTAGTAGTTACCTTGATGGCGCTGACATACCCACCGGGGCCCCCTCCTATGACGGCAACATCGAAAGCATGAGAGGCCGTGGAGAAGAGTCGAGCACTGCTGAGGCCCCGCAGAGAGTTGAGCCCAAAGAAGGGCGAGCCGACCATTAACGCAAATGGGAAAACTTCCTGACGATTAGTGAGGATTCCAACAATATGATACTACCGAACGAAAGGACACACCTGGACTCCGTGGAAGGTGGAGGTCGCGATGGAAATTCTAACACTACACCATTTCCAGGTCGACTCGAATTTTTTACCGGAAATTTTAACTTTTTAATAACTTTTGAATAACGTTATACCCCATCATATAATGCTTCACTCTCTTGGTTGATATTTTACCCAAGGTTTCTGTGGAATACCAAACTAATATTCTTACGACTCTATTTGAGAGTTTTCAATTCAACTCAACCAAAGACGCGCTGAACGATTTTGCCCGAGTGCAGAACTAGCATTGTAGTATTGGAATTCCTAGCGTCCACATGAGGGAAAACGTCAATGTTGCATATTATTCTCAGCTCATCCACAGCAACGCTACTATACTTCAGCTGTGATAAAAGAGAGGAAAAACCTTGAGTGGACAGCCATGCATGGGCCTTCATAACTTATCCCATCACCCCTAGGTGAGGCCCTGCCCTTAACAAACACTACAGCGACCACAACGGCAGTATACGTTGACGTAATCGAGGAAGCAACAACGCTGGTAGTGAGGAGGAGAAAGGGGGTTAAGTATTGACGTTAAAACGGTAGCCGCATTTCTGGCATTCGTAGAACACCGTTTGGCCCTCATCGGCACTCCTCAACTGCTGAGTCCAGAAGGCCATACGGGGATTCTTGCACTTCGGGCACTCCTCATCCACCTAAGAGCGATACCGATGAGCAGCTGCCTTGAAGCCAGAAGCGTTTAGGAATCTTACTAAAGCCATCTTTTTATCGTCCTTTTTCTCCTTGCCCTCCTCCTCATCAATGATGTTCTTCATCCACACCTTCATCTCACCATAGTCCAACACGGCATGGGACTCCATCAGCGGTCCAGTGACGAATCCTGATGCGACTCATACCACTCCTCGGCGAGATCCTAGAGCTTACGATCCCGCTTAGCCCCACATCTAGAGCAGACCGAGTACTGACCCCGCTGTCTTTGGTCGTAGAAAGAACCACAGTCTGAGATTATTCATGATATCAACAACTCTCATACGACTACTATTCCCGTACATCCACAGAACATATTCTCGTATTTGAAGTACTCCTCCTTGGAGACCTTAGCCCACTCAGGCAACTCTGACTCGTCAGCGCACAGTTCCATCTGAACACCACGATTGATGACCCCTCGCGCTGAGAGCCGAAGGGAGCAGTAATGAGAAACATGATCGCTTTGCTCAACTGAGCTCAGAAATTTCCTCACTTATATACAAGTTTATATGTGAATTCGAGTAGAAGTGTACAATAACCAACGAGAAAATTTCCTCGAAATTTTCATAATGCTACCAACACATGTGGTCGACCATGTACATATTTCCCAACACTGAAAGGGAGAGACCTTGCTATTACATCTTTCTCAGAAGAATCCTTTTCAGCGGGGTCTTTATACCCCAGAGGCTTCCTCTTCAGCCACTCACTAGATGTGACTGCAGGGACGAGAGGACCGAAGGGCCCATGAGGACGGAATGAGGACATCCCAACAACAACAACAAGCCTAAACAACAACAACAACAACTCCCTAATTCCGTAACAGGCAAACGCAGAGTTATCAAGGGAGAAACTAAGGCATTGAGGAGTCGTCAATCGGCGCGGCTTTCCTCTGCAAAGAACTTCGCTGCCCCCATCGCCATCCTCAACGTCCGGTCCGACACGTCATGGTCTCCTTCCACACTGCAGCGAGAGGGCATATATCACCACCAAATACCAAACTTACGTTCCCCATTTGCCTCTATTCTCCAACTCCTCCAAAACCGAAGCCCTACATGCCTAGCACATGATCAGCAATCGCCTATTCTCATGCAACAGAGGATAGTACCTCCTCTAGAGAGGTATTTCCGAGGTAGTAGTTGAGGGCGATCACAACAGACTTCGCCGTTCTGCTCATCTCATCAAAGGCTGTGAGCTCCCATGGGGTAAGGGTACTCAAATACGCTCTCAGTGCCGCATCCTATATAGCCCATTAATCGAATAACAAAGCTCTCACTAGTACCGCTCCTTCTGAGTGTTTCGGCAGTGATATGCCCCTACATGAGGCTATCTTGCAGTCGAATTCCTTGGACACGAAACTGAGCCCACGGTGACTGATAACGTCAGGAAAGGTGTCACCTCCTGTATTCGCCCCACTCAGGGTATTCCCCATAGCAAGTCAAGTCGGTGTTCAAGTAGTGGAGATTCCTCTCAACCACTGCGCTCATATCCTTCGCTGTCAAGTCAATAGTTGTCGCTGCCAACGCCATCAACGGCATGAAGCTACCAAGCCTCACTACAACCAACCGTACTGTCTTCACTTACTGTGGCCGTATGAACTTGTCCTGTTCGGCCCACTCCTCTGCTACTGCAAAGGCGAGCCCCTCAGAAGGGAGTGCCAGTCGGTGCTTAGCTGGAGTAGACAATCGTCTGAGGTCACATAGTCTTTTCAGTCTCCTCACTACCCACCGTCCTACTTGCCGTCCAAAAGGACCGTCCATCCTCCTCCCTCGTCAATGCCATTCCGCGCTACCTTCACCACATCATAAAAACGCTTATGCGCCCTCGCAGTGTTGCTAGGCAGGGCAGCCAGAAGCCGATGACTCTGCCGAAGGGACATCAGAGGGACAGTAACTCACACACAGAGAACAACATAGCGACACTCCCAAGAACACAAGGGCAAGTCAATCACCACCAACGCCGTGACTCGGCTGACGTAAGGCAAACCACTGAGGCGACAGCTAAGGCAGTGAAAAAGATACCAGCTACCGCGTACTTAATACCTCCGTCCCACTTGACATTGCAGAGGGAGGCTTTGCTAATAGACTTTGAAAAACTATAAATCATACAAGCGGTTCAGAATCGATGGACCGAGTCAGAGTAAAGGGCTGTCTACAGACCAAAGAAGGTAGCGATGCTCCTCCAAAGTCGTGAAGGAGGCGCCGCCGATCGGCAGGGACGGACAGCAAGGGCCTGGTGCCTGGCTTCAGCACAGCTGCGGACGATGGGCGGAGGGGAACGCCCACATACTGCCCTCTCAACTACATGAGAAACTGTAGGGACCACACTACTGGATGAGTACCAATTTAGTATCTGAAGACCACCGTAGAAACCTATCATTCTCATGCTTCGACAATACCGTTTAAAGCGGTGTGGGAATATTTGTTTGGTTTCCTAAATTGAGCTCCTGTGTAAGTTTCCTCACTACATTTTGAAAATCCATACATGACTTGGGAATATGTATGGGTAAAAGTATACAAAAACCAACGACTATTTACTCGAGTTTTACCAACACATGTAGTAACTACATGTGTTGGTGAAAATACGGAAACTATGAGGAAACCTCGTAGTTGACCATGCGCATATATTCCCACGCTGGCTCAAAGAGGTGAGCAAATGACCTCAACATGTGTTTACCTCTTCGCACTCCCGACACTCCAGTTTATCAACTCCAACTTCACAACAGGCTAGGCGTTCTGGTGTCCATCCACTACGGGACCAGAGGCAAGTAAGATAGCTCTCACGTAGTCTCTCTACTGGTGCTGACCCTAGACCCCTACATACACATATAGCAGAGGCTTCTTCGTTAGCGCAGAATATTGGGTAGCTCGGGAAACTAAAAAAAGAACACAACAATACGCCCAAACCCATGCACTTCAACAAGACGGGAGAGGAACTTCCAATAGGGGGGTTGTACCCCCGCTTTATTGTTATTGACTGATTCGAAAAGAAGCGCTCCACCAGTGTGAAGAAATATGCACATGGCCAACTACCTTGTGAAAGTCAGGTGAAAATTTTGCGAAATTCTTGGTAGCTTCTGAACATTTCTATTCTGATTTATATATAAACTCCTATAATTAGTGAGGAAACTCCTGAGCTCAGCTGAGGAAAGCGAACATATATTCCAACACTGCTCTTCACTCGGGGCAGTGAACATGCTCATGTAACGCACTATAAACTCTGAATACCATTCCCCCCACTACTTACAGTCTGCGGCGTAGCTGATATAAACGGTAAGGGTCCATGCCCCATCCGTGACTCGGGTTAAAGGAAACATCAAAAAGTTGTAGGTCGTCGAGGAATGATAGTACAAATAGAGCACAGATAAGGTCCTGAACAGGAGGGACGAATTTGGAATGGAGTGGTATGGGCACCACGGTCACGTCCGAGCGCCATCACCTCATCATTGTCTGTAGTAGCTCCTGTCAAAGAACACCAACGTAGATTCGCTGCCGCCTCAAGAACGTTCCGTAGCGAGCGGGAAGGTACATGGCAAACGCCTAAGAGGCAGCCTTCAAGACCCGACCCCTCCCCCCACAGCCTACCCCTTCGGGCCGAATTGAGCTGTATCTCTCTCAGACAAGTCATCCCAGGCGGAAACTCCAGCTCGGAACAGCGGCATTCCCGTGCAGCAGACAGTCTTATCTCCTTTAAAGATGTCTTCAGCAATGGCTGCACCATCTCAAAATCGTCGATCTGATATTGGAGTTTCACAACCCGTTTTACGTGAAGTGGTGAAAAACCCGATATTCACACCATGCAGTGTTTTCCATATCCCGGGTGAAACTTCAATAACATCATTTATCGAGCAATAGCTACCACCCTGCTTACGTTCTCCATCTCCAGCTCCTCCAAGCAGCACTCTCTCAGCACAGGCAGTAATGGGTTAATATCAACATTCCCACAGTTCACTTCCAGCCGTCGTAACGACCTCGTGATTGGTGACCTCAACAGGGCGTGGCGCAGTGGCTGTTCTGGCTGAGCCTCTAGACGTAAACTCCATAGCATAGGACTTAAATAGCGTCCAGCACAGCAAAGACGACCACACGTAGCAGGGGTAGCTATCAGATGCATAGTCCAGAAGCACTGCTGATTACATCGTCCTGACAGAAACTGCATACAATTCTTCTTATGGGGATGATCCCTATCCGATCAAAAAAATGAACGGCCGAAAGTTATAAAATGAAAACCATGTGTGAGTAAGAAAGAACGGTACTCAACACCTACCGTATTAACCCGCCATATTGCTGACTACCATACCCTACTACTACTACTACTACTACTACTACTACCTGCTCTCTTCCACTCAGCCGGCACTTCCTCCCACAAGATCTGCTCCACGCTACGCGAGGTAGCTATGAAATTGCCAACACTCATGCTGTCCAGAAAGGAGCAAATTTCCGCCGTCACCAGTGCGCCACCCTTAGCGAGCATTCTCTCTAACAAGGCTAGTCGTTCGGCATCATCTTCATATCTCTCTATATGCATCAAAATCATGAAACTGACGTCAAGTCGCGAAACCGTCATTGTAAGCACTTCAACTCCACCCTCTCCTTACAAGAAACGTTCCGACGTTGGTAAGATGAAACCTCTGCCGAGCAATGGATAACGTTGCTGCTGTCGCAGTAGTAGACATGAAGGTCCCCTCAGTCTTCTCCTTCCGAATCCGAAAAGGTCATCTCATGTACACTATCCTGCTGAGCTGCCTCTCCAATAGCCTCAGCTGCAGCAGTCTGGGCGGCCAACCATGCTTCTAAACACAACGTCGCGCGCCATAAAATTACCCCAATACCCAACAAGTCCTTACGTCTCTTCTTCTCCTTCTGCCTCTGACGCTTCAGAGACCGCTTACTCCTAGCCGGGCCCTCCTCAGTCTCGCCAGTCTCCTCGGCCTAACACGTAGTCCGCTCCAAAGGACCCCAGCATACCCCTACACTACCCTTTGGCGTTTTAGCCGCTGTTCGATCTCCTTATCGCCCTTCATCATCGCCTCTATCTTGCTCTTCTCCTCCTCCTCCCTCTGCTTCTGCTGCTGTAGATAGGCCTTCCCCATAGCAGTATCGGTATAGGTGTAACTGAAACGATCGTCACTGCCGCTGTAGAGCAGAAGAGCGCCAACGCCCCTACATCATGAACTGCTCTGGTGGGGACTTCAGAGAGCTCCTCATGCGGGTGACTTGGGCTGAAGTCTCCTCCGACAAGGCAATCAACGGCTTCAACTAAAATCGCAACCACGCCCTGCCAATCCTAGTCCAACTCCCACAGCCCGACGAGTGATCAGCGACTTGGTGTTTACCTCATGTTTGACTGCTAGGTTGGACTTCTGTAGCCTCTTGAGATGTGTCATCAACGGAGTAGTGATCTCGGGATAGGACGGGCTGCGGGCCAGCAAGGCCAAGTGGTGTGTGAGGACAAATAGGAGGTACCTAAAGAGACCATATGTACACTGTCGTGAATACACACAGAGTTCAGGAGAAGCTTACTTCCGCAAAGCCTGGCTAGTTGGACGGTTGTCAAGTTGCCTCTCGGACACCCTCACAACGAGGTCCACCTAAGACGCAGAAACATCGAAAATGGCGGCGGAGCGAAGCGCCTTACCTGAGTCGGCTTCAGGTCAGTAGAGGCAGTGGCTGGTCGCCTAGTACTGGTCTGCTGCTTTTCCTTAGCCGCTAAGTTCGACAACCCTCGGAGCTGGAGAAGATGATCACCAACGCTCTTGTACATCACCAGCGCCATACCAGAAGGGAAGTGAGCGGAGCGAAGACATTAGCCTTTTCGGCTAGAGAGTTGGCGAGCTCCAGCATATGCAGCATGAAGGGCAAATAGACAGTGTGGCCTTCCTTGGACTTAGCCGCAGACAACAGTATCACCATTAGCGGGTGCAACTACACCAACAACAACTCGTAACAAGTCGCCCCTCCAGTCCACTACCAAGTCCTTTAACTGCTCCGGTAGGCGTTCCATAGCAGCAACCCACACCGCAGAGCTTCTCACATAGCATACACTATACAGTTGACGCACCGCCTCCACACCAGCTGTTCCTCCTGCTGCCGCTTTGCTTGCCTTAGACCCCCCAGCTGGCTGCCCAGGAGTAATCGACTTGATGCCCTTGCTTTGGGCCTTCATAGCCGACCGCAATATGACGCCAAGTTGACGAATACCTATTATACGAGCCACGTTCAGCGTGCCCAAGTAGAGGCAGAGGTCACTACTCGTAAACGCGATACGATAGGCGGCTTGGGGCTCCAGTGTGAGCATCTCAGCAATGCAGTTCTCCATGAACCGACAAGCCGACAACTGCCTATGTGTGAGGGCAGGCACCCTCTGTAACGATACGACATATCTGCAGCGATCTATCGAAAGGACCCCGCATGCCCCTATCATTACGCCCTATACATCCGCCTCATTATACCCTCAACCTCCCGCCCAGCCCCTTCAATACCCTTCTTAGAGGAAGCACCACCCTTTAGTATTTGCCCCACCAGATTGTATAGCGCCGAGAAGGCCGCCAACTTGGTGCCCTGGGCAGCTGAGGAAGACCACGCTGGGCCCACCCCCTCCCCTCTTTGTCGGCTTACCTCCCTTTGCCCACTTCCTGCAGAGCTCATTTATTACTAGCGGCTTCAACTTCTTCAACTGCATGAGGTACTTCAAAGCACTACCATTACCCAATTGCCACAGCACCTGCCCATGCCACCCTACGTTAAACCCTCTTAAGATCCTCATAGTATTACAAACTCCTGTGTGTCGAGGTCAGTAAGCTGCTGCAATAAGTTGAGACTTTCACTCCAGAATAAACGGCCCAGCATAAACGTCTTACCGCCGCCCCCGGCAACAGCAGCAGCGGTCCCCTTGGTCTTGGCAACTTGCTTGTCATGATGGTCCAGGAGCTCCGGGGCCTGCCGGGAACCTCCTCGCAGTGAACACCTAAGCTGCCCTTCCTACTTTTTTCAGAGTCCACTCCAATACGGCGTTAAACACTGTCGCATCCTCAATGCGAATACCAGGAGCAGCTGAGTCGTTTCCTAAGGGCCCAAGCTGGCCCACATACCCCTAGACCCCTGCCACACTACCTTCCTCGGACTCTGCCCCTTCCTTCGCCTCTCCCCTGCTCATGCGACTGGCCACCCGATAGGCTGAGAGGACTGCTCGGAGGGCCTTCAGCGACTTATTGCCGTCCTTCTTCCCCTCAGCTGCCTCCGTCAGCTCATTCAACCGCTCCATCGTAAGCACCTATGGTAACGAGCTTCTGCAAGAGTCGTTCCCAGAGCGGCTATAAGGCCCCCTACTACCCCAGTGTCAGCCTTAGCCTGCGGTTGCTTCCTCTCCTTCGCTCTAGGGCCCTTCTCCTCCTCTTCTTCACCCTGGCCAAACTCCAACAAGTCTTGATCCGTCTCTTGAAGGAATCTGCAAGCAGTTCGTTCATTCCCAAGCTCGAGCGCCTCAGACGAATGCCCACTTATAGAATTCTGGATCGGTCTCCTTGAGAGCCTCCAGCTCCCTCTTATGCGTATCAGCTTCATCATCGTCCGCCCCTAAACACTGCCTTCAACACCAATTCAATCAAGACCACAATACCCTCTTGAGTAGCCGTCTTGTCCTCCCCCTCGTTGAGAGCCCTCACGAGCTCCTCCTCGCCTTCCATACCATCAGGCACACAGAACACTGCCTCGTCATCGGAGCCTACACCACCAAGAACACCCCTTCGCTCCGCCCTTCACTGCACTTCCAGTTGCCTACCTATCTCGGCCAACTGAGCATCTAGCTCTGCGTCCATGTCCTCCTCAGGTCCCCCTAACTCTGCCTCGGTGAGCTTAGCTGAATAGGGACCACCATAGGGCAAGGGAGTCACTAGCCACCCCTATAACCTTTCCGTTTGCTCTCCTTGATCTCATCTCTACGTTTAATCTTATCGGTGAGCTTCGCTTTCTGTTTCGCCTTAGCCGACACCTTTGATTTTGCCTTATTGAACTTCTTGGAAGCCTTCTTAGATACCATAACAACGAAGGGTGAACAACTACGAGCGGCAGCGAGGCTCCCACACGGGCAATTTCATGGTAGTCCCCAAGGCCCACCTCGACAAACGTTGCCACGAGTAGGTTGTTAATGCTGTACTATTAGAACGGGAGTTAGGCTATTCCCAGAAGCTCATCCCATTCAATTTTTTCTCTAGAACTAGTCCCAGTTGCCAACAGTAATTGCGCAAAACTCTATCATCAGCACTGATGAGGATGATGGAGTTAGCAGCTAGCGATGGAGTACTGATGATTCATCAGTTCTCCACCGCTCTGCCTGAATGCTCCAGTGATGGACTGAGAAGCTCAATACGAGCGGTTGAGCCTTCGAGGATGCGCTTCGGACTGACACGTCATCGTAAAATTGAAGATCGTCAATAATGAAATCGGTTGTGACACTGTGTCCCGTTAAAACACGCATGTTGCTTGATTCTTCAGATGATTTCTCTCAAGTAGTTGCCCTATCGATCACATGCTTTGACTAACGGTCTGCATGCCTTTCTCTGCAAAAAGGCTCATAGAGCAGAAAACGCCGGCACCATTGCGCGCACGCCGGGTGTGATGGTGGTGACGCCATCTCAATCCAAGGGTGTGCCGCTCTGTTGTCAATCATGCCTTCAAAGCTGAGGTCACTCGAACGAGCTCGTACCCGCACCCAAGAGATCTACACTAAGGTTGAGGGAATCACATGCAAAATGCGGAAACACGTCGATGTTAGTCGCGAACAGCGGAGAAAGGATGCCTGGATGGCGACCGCAAAGTGCAGGAAGGAAAATGCTTCATAATTTTTTGGTCAAAATCGTGTTCAATGATTCTCATGAACGTGCATTACCTCTTGGCCGTGGCTGCTCGTGATTTGATCTGATACCACACCTTCGGTAACTCGGCTCATGGAGTGCCTCAGGTTGTACCAAGAGACAGAACTGATTTTTGACGGAGAAACCAGAGCTGCTGTTGAGGCTTTGTCGGGCTATGACTCGGAGATTCAAGCATTGCATGAGGAGCTTGAAATCAGTACAGAGGAGTTCACCCAGAGGCTGTTATCACCGGTGTTGTGCTGCGGCTAGCAGTACTCACATGCTGGGCCCTTGCCTTCAGATACTGGCCCTTCGAGAGGGCGTTAGGGTCGGCCAGTGGACTCATGATGAGACTCTGGAGCTTATAAGCAATATACATCGCGAATTAGAGGAGGAACCCGTCGTAGATCTAATCGGGCACAGAGACAGCATAAGGGAGGCACTGGAGATAGTTGCAAATGCACAAACCACAGGGGTGGTATCTAGAGACATTGAGAACCTGTCCGATGCAGAAGAAGAGCTCTTGGAGGAGGGGAGTCGCCATTTGGAGCTGCCAAAAGTCATCGTCAAGTACGAGAAAGTTTTGGAGGAAATCAACCAGAAGTGTTGTGAACAGTTGACGACATCATCAGCCAAGATCAAGGCTGTGAAGGCTGCGTTGATGGACGTGCTTCCCCAGTGTGGTCAGCTGAGCCTCCATGCGGGGGTTGTCGGGACGGCCCTCGAACTGCTCTTCCCGGGAGTGTCGAAGCAGCGGGCGTCCGAGATAAAACGGCTGGCCACACACGCTGGGTTGTTGAGAAGAGAAAGACGGGCTATTTTCCGTCGATGGCGTGAGAGGCGACTCGAGGCGCTGCATGCGGCTCAGAAGCAGTACAAGGCCTGGGCGGAAGGGAAGGTCGAGGAGGTCGCTGCCTTGGAGAAGAGAACTCGGGTTTTAGTGAAGGCACAAGCCTTGCGAGAGAGGCTTGATGAAGCCCTTGCGCTCAAGCAGGCACTGGAGGCTGGTGAGAGAATTGAAGCGAGAGAGCGTGCTGAAGCTGCGTCGGTGAGAGAGGCCGCTAAAGAGGCGCAGAAGCGACAGTATACCGAGGCGTTGAAGAAAAGAGTGGAAGAACACGGTAGGGGCAAGGAGGAAATCATGAAGGAGAAGGCGAGACAAGATGTCGTGGAGAAGCTCCGTGACGAGGAACTTAGGCGTGCCAAACGCAAGATGCTGGCAGCTCGCGTAGCCTATCGAGAGAAAATGGCGACGATTCGAGCAGCAGAACAGGAGTGCAGGAAGGAGGCTTGTAGAGCAGAAGCTGAACAACGGAAGCTCCGCATCCAACGCGCCATTCAAAAGTTCAGAGTCACGGTTGAGGCGGATCCAGAAAGATTATCTGCAATCCCCTCACATAAGAAAACCACCGGTGAGCACCCGTTGCCCAGAGAGATCTTCCGCCGCGACGGGTATGGGATCGATGACCTTGAGAAAGATCCGCGCTATCGACTGCAAGCAGCCTTGTTCGAGGCCGGCCTCTATATGTCCGAGAGTGGTCACGAGGTTATGCTCAGCATGGTTCCCCGGAATACATAGTATCACAAATCGGCTCGAATCGTGTTCCAGTGTGGTAGCCAACGAGGCTTCCTGGAATAGCTGGAGAGTAACTCGTCAAATTCTCACTGAGTCTCCCGATTCGGGTATCTCCCGTGTTGTAGAAGTGGTTACTGAACCAGCTTGTTACTCAGGGCCGCGATATCGATTCATAACGACTAATAATCTTCGTTATTTAGGAACACGTTGTTTTGGGAAGAACCTAGGTGCTGAAAGTAACAACGCTTCTACTCTATTCTAACAGTCGTATTGTACTCTCTATGCTACAAATGGGTTTCCTGGATTGTCTCTGGTTGGCGTCTACTCCAGAAATGCGTGTTTGTGCCGCGGACACGACTCTCTTAGAGAGCTCAATGAGGCCAGGAAGTTTGGGGTAATTGTTCGTGAGCTCTACGCATAGATGTTAACCGACTCCCTAGGAACTAATAACTCGGAGCTATATGATTTGCCGTGCACACAGGATTCTCAATGTTAACTCCAAGTTCGGCAAAGGTCTAATATGTTAGCACCAAGGATGTCAATGTTGAGTCCGACCAGATCCAGCAATCACCTTCGAACACATCAGATACTACGGGCAACCAGATCGATAGAAGCAACAGCATCGCCATGTATATCTCCCCAAAACTGAGGTAACTAAACTCACTTCTTATTAGAGTCACAAGGAACAAACTTAATACTCCGAGCAGCAGGTATCACCACCTACGCTCTTCAGAGTACTTATTCAAACCAGTAGCCGTGCAGAGCTGAACAATCGTCCATAATCTTATGTCAAGGGCTGATTAAATGGTCCACACATGCATATTAGTATTGTACGAGCAAATCGATAGACAAATGGTGAAGCATATAATAATTCGTTGTTATCAGCAACAGTAACGTGGCAAAGTATTCGAGACAAAACACCATTGCAAAGCAAAAACCTTAGAGCACCATTGTAACTGCAAGAACCTCCTTTAGCAGCATGTACTCTCTGAGTACAAAACACCATCGCATAACAAAAACCTTAAAGCAACTCTGTAGCTCCAGATGGCTTCTTTTGCAACATAAGATCTCTGAGTGCACGACGGCGTCTCCAGCCGAAGTACAAAAGTGCACCAGCACACAATAGGAAGACAATACCGAAGCCGATACCCAACCACATAACCAACTCGAATAGACCGGGAGCACCCTGGAGCTGCTTGATAGAGTCAATCTGGTATGGATAGGCCAGCTGATGCTCATCAACCCACACTGCCGGGATCAAAACTTCATCTGACAACTTTCCAGACTGGGTATCAGCGACAGAGGGCATCATAACATTCATCTGCAGCTTCAATGCACCTTTCAATAGAGCACCAGTGATAGGCTCAGTCCACATCTCGCAGTTGAAGTCTCTGTCAGCATCATCGCACTCCTCAGAACCCGAACAGCTCTTGATCTCAACGCGATCACCGGGATACCAGTTCTTGATCGAGGAGGAACCCTCAACTTGGTAGAAATGAGGTAGTGAGGCATAGATAGGAGTCCTCACTAGATTCGGTTTCGGAGAACTGAACGTGCCCAAATTCAGAGTCAGATAAGGCGAGTCGCAATCGATTCCTCGACTATCATCCTCTGAACCATCACAGTTCTCATTCCGGAAAGCCAGGTCCGCGAGATCCCACACATCAATAGTAGCCCCATTATAATCTTGGTCTTTCTTAGTAAGCTTCATCTCAGCCGTTGAGAACACAGGACTGACAAACATCTTGTCGATAGCACCAACTTTATGGTAGTCGTTTGTACCGTGACCATTCAGAGTACCCGGCACGTATTTCACATCGAAACCAGCTGCATAGTTGGGATGACACTTATCATCAGGAGTGCATGTACCATTTGCCTTGAACTCATCCTGAGCCGTGCAATCGGGATCGAATGCACAGTTGTACTCCATGCCGTTGGACATTTTGAAGTAATACAATCCCATCCAGTCCTCCACGAAGCTGGCACGATACTGTTCGGTAACAGGATAAGTAGTAGCAGAAA